GAGGAATTGATGGAATAACAATTGGGATATTTCTTAGTTTGCTTGTTTGGGTTTTTTTTGTTAAGGTCATTTTATTGGGGTCTCTGACAGTTCTTATAACAATCCATACAGCAGTTTTTATCAAGCATATTTGTATATACGTTGCCATCGTCATTCTCAAAACATTTGCTTTCCACCTGAGCCCTTGGTATCAGCTCCTCTTTTTTCCCTCCCTCCCACACCTGGAAGATTTCAACAGATGCAACACTGGATGTGCTCATTTGTCCTGCCCGAAAATCTACAAGGCAGCGACTTGGCCCATCTATTGGAGGAGGTTCTTGGTTATGCCCACTCCAAAGAAAGGTGACCAAACAGAACCCAGGAATTATTGAACCATTTCATCAATATTAAATGAGGAAAAGATTTCGCAATAAGGGTTGCAGCCTCAACAGGCAGCTGCTGGAAATTCACGCTGAATTCAGAAGAGGCCACGGAATGAGGGAGCTCATTGCTGATGTCCACTGGGTCCTGGCTAGAAGCAGAGAACACAAGGTTATTGACTTGGGTTTTAGTCAGTGCGCAAAGGCATGCAACCGTGTGGGTCAGACGAAGCAGGCATCACACTGAGGTTTTGCAGAGATTTACCTCAAACTGAGGTGAAACAAGTGACAATACCGATTTGCCCTCAATCACTTCTCCTGGGCCAACAGGGAGAGCGTGACGTTTTACTTCTTCCTCTCAACCATTCCTGTCCAACTCACGTTGGACACGTAGGAAAGTCACAATCTGTCCTGATCAGGTGACTTTAGAGCTGATCCAAAGCAAGTCCCTAATGGAAAGGCAGAGTGGGGATGCAGAGCACCAAGGGAAATCTGAGTAATGTGGATGTCCACAAGAGTGCGTATGGAATTTAGTACAGCCTTGCCCTGTGATTAAAGTCAATGGTAAACTACAGCAATCCAGTTCTGACATAACTTCTAATGACCAAGACCCTTCAGGAATGAAGATTTGAGTCACTGTGCCAGGCAAAGGCCCGGGGCCAGTCGAGGTCCTTGCTGAGGGCAAAGGGAATACAAAAAGGGTGGTGAAAGAAACTCATACTAAAAACCAGCGACAGCCACACGATCAGTTGCAGAAAAGAAAGCTGTAATTGTATTTCCTCCTTGTACGTAGGCATCAAATAGGTTTGCTTTGTTCACTTATAAACTAAGATATAAATGGAGTTTGTGTGTTTATCATACAAGAGTCCGTTGTTTCACGTTTGGTGAAGGGATGACTTTTTAAATTGTCTTTATTTAGAGATGAGCCCTTTCAGGAGATGTGTACAGGTGTCAAGTTGACAAGAGGCAGTCTGCGAGAGCTCAATTTTGTGGCTGACCAAGCCGATCAGAGTGGGCTGCAACACTCTTAGGTCACAATCCTGATGGAATCAGTTGAAAGGAGGTTTCCTCTGGGGTGTGGCCTGAAATTTGCTTGCTTTTTGGAATGGATTCTGCACCTGGCTTATTGCCCTCCGGTTCTTTAGCGGTGAGCCAACAGCTTCCCATCTTGCTTGCTGTTCCTGGGGGTCTTCAGTGGCCTGCCATCTAACTTTCTACCTTGGATCCATTCACTTGTATAGTCGTAAGCCTGACCTGCTTGACCCTTGATGTCTTTGCCTCTATAAGCACATGCCTATTGTCTCTCTGCTGGTCTGGAACTCACCAGCCTCTGCAGCCACATGAGCTAGGGGTCTAACATCGGACCCAGGGATTTGGAACCTGTCAGACTTAGACTTTCCCGCTTCTACAACTGTGTGAGCCCTTTGCTTGATAGAAATCCCTAGGTATGTATACACATGTAGATACTGATCTATTTATCAACTAATGAACATTTGGGTTGTTTCCACATTATAAGTAATGTGGCTAGGAACATTTGTGTGTAATCTGTTTTCATTTATTTTAGGTATACACGCCTAAGAGTGGAATTGGTAGACGACACAGTACTCTGTGGTTTGCTTGTTGAGCAAACACTCAGTTATTGTCCAGGTTTTTTCTTTTGGTTGTTGGGTTTTGAGAGCTCTTTATGCTCATTAAACCCTTATTAGATTTGCAAGTACTTCTCTCAATTTCTTAATTGTGTCATTTGATATACCAAAGTTTTAATTTTAATAAAGTTCCGTTTGCCAATTTTCCCCTTTTATTGTCTAATCTTCTAGTATCCTATTTAAGAAACCAGGGCCAAATTCAAGGTCGTGAAGAGTCACACCTAGTTTTCTCCTAGAAGTCTCACAGTTCTGTTTCTTACATTTAGACCTGTGATTCCATTTGGGTTGATAGTTTTATATGGTCTGAGGTAGGGACCAGAGTTTCATTCTTTTGCTACAGATACCCAGTTGTCCCAGTACCACTTATTGAAAAGCTAATATTCCCTTTAATGGTCTTGGCACCCAAAATTAGTTGGTCATTGATAGATAGGTTTATTCCTGGACTTTCTATTCCACTGATCCACATCTGTTCTTATAACAGCATCACACTGTTTTGATTACCTTTGTAGAAAATTCTGAAATGGGGAGTATGAGTCCTCTAACTTGTCGTCCGTCCCCCCCAACTGATTTAGCTATTTGGAGTCCCCTACAATTCCATATAAAGTCTAGAATCAGCGTTTGCATTTCACACACACACACACACACACACACACACACACACACACACACACACACGTGCACTCCAATGGAATCTTGAGAATGAAGTGCACTGAATCTGTGTAAGGCTTTGGGAAGACTTGCCTTCCTAAAAACATTAAGTCCAATCCATGAGCACAAGAATACTGTTCTGTTTAGTTAGATCCTCTGTATTTTTTTTCAGCAAAGTTTCAAGTGCACGAGTTCTGCACCTTCTTGGTTAAATTGAATGCCAATTATTTGATTCTTTTTGATGCTCTATTGTAAACGTTGTTGCTTTCTTAATTTCTTATTTGGATTGTTCATTTCTAGTCAAGTATTGTATTTCACCCATTGCTGTCGGGTCAATTCTAACTCACAGCAACCGTATAGGCAGGGTTTCCGAGATTACACACCTGGAGGGAAGCAGACTGCCACGTCTTCCTCCTGCACAGTGACAGATGGGTCACATCACCAGCTTCTTAGTCAGCTGAGTGTTGAATCACTGCACCACCGGGGCTCCTTAGGACAAACTCATATCGGGTCCATGCTGACTCATAGCATCGTAGCACACAGGGCTTTCAGGACAGGGTAGAGCTGTTCCTCTGGGTTTCTGAGATGGTCACTCTTTACAGGAGTAGAAAGTCTCATCTTTCTATTGTGGAGTGGCTGGTGGTTTCAAACTGCTGACCTTGGGGTTAGCAGCCCAACCCATAACCACTACGCCAGTAGGGATCCTGCCCAGGGCTGCTTATTGGATTTTAATCATAGAATAAATGAATATTCCTCGGTCCATAAAAATATCAATTAATGCCTGAGTCAGAATCAACTCTACGGCCATGGGTTTGGGGTTCAAGACTGGGGGTGGGGTGGGGGTGGGGGTGCACTGTCGTTGCTATTTCTCTGACTTGATTATGACTTTCTTGAGAGCTATGTCTTTTTCTTCTTTGATTCCTCACAAACACCACAAGACAAGAGTTAATGGTTTGGGCTCTCAAAACACAAGCACCCAGAATTACAAAACACAAGGAGCCTCTGCTTGCTTGCTTGCCAAGGCAAGGGAACAGTTTTTTCAACATCTATGTGAGAGACACTATGTTCGGTACTTTATACAAGTATTTTTAATTCCAGTGACAAGCCTGTTTGGTAACTATTACATCATCCATTTTACAATGACCTTCCAAAACCAAGCTCACTGCCATCGAGTCGATACAGATTCATAATGACCCTGTAGGTCAGGACAGAACTGCTCCCTGTGGGTTTTCAAGGTGGGTTTCTGAGACTGCGACTCTTTTTAGTGTGTGTGTGTGTGTTCCGATGTTGAAGTTGATATCCTTTTTAAAATTAATTTAATCATTTTATTTGCGGCTCATACAACAATCCATACATACATACATACATTGTATCAAGCACATTTTACATTTGTTGCCATCATCATTCTCAAAACATTTGCTTTCTACTTGAGCCCTTGGTATCAGCTCCTCATTTTTACCCCTTCCCTCCCTGCTCCCTCCTCCCTCATGAACCCTTGATAATTTATAAATTATTATTATTTTGTCATATCTTCCACTATCCGACATCTCCCTTCACTCACTTTTCTGTTGTCCACCCCCCAGGGAGGAGGTTAAATGTAGATCCTTGTAATCGGTTCCTCCTTTCCAGCCCACCCTCCCGGTATCGCCACTCTCACCACTGGTCCCGAAGGGATCATCTGCCCTGGATTCCCTGTGTTTCCAGTTCCTATCTGTACCAGTGTACATGCTCTGGTCTAGCCGGATTTGTAAGGCAGAATTGGGATCATGATAGTGGGAGTGGGTGGGGGGGACAGGAAGCATTAAGGAACTAGAGGAAAGTTGTATATTTCATCATTGCTGCACTGTACCCAGACTGGCTCATCTCCTCCCGGGGACCCTTCTGTAAGGGGATTTCCAGTTGCCTACAGATGGATCTTGGGTCCCCAATGTGCACTCCCCCTTATTCACAATGATTTGATTTTTTGTTCTTTGATGCCTGATATCTGAACCCTTCGACATTTCATGATCACACAGGCTGGTGTGCTTCTTCCATGTGGGCTTTGTTGCGTCTGAGCTAAGAGACCGTGACTCTTTATGGGAGTAGAAAGCCCTGTCTTACCCCCAAAGAGTAGCTAATGGTTTTGAACTGCTGAACTTGTGCTTAGCAACCCAACCCATAAGTACTACATCAATCAAGGCTCCAAAGTGCACTACCTAGAGTCATCGGGAAACACTGAATCAAACATGAGATCCTATCCCGAAGCCTCCCCCGTGTCATTTTCCCGTGGCACCGCTTGCTGCCTCGTCTATTTTTTCCCTAAATAAATACGGATGGTAACAATCATTAATAGCCTTTGAGCACTTACAGGATGACAGTCTAGTATTTCATGGAATCCTCGGAGGCAGGAGTCGGCAAACTTTTGAGATAGGAAGAGTCGGTCCCGTCCCCTCAGAACATTTGGAAAGTATCTGAGAGCTGTACACATATTTTTACAAACAAATGAGATCATCGTCATCTGACAAATGATGACAGTTGACTTCCATTTTCAACTTTACTTCGGAGTCACATGCACAGACACTGAAAGAGGTGTGTGTGGCTCGCGAGCCACAGCTCGCCAACCCCCGCTCTGAGCTTGATAAGCGCTGTGATGATCACAGGGGTGGAAGTACCTCAGCCAACCAAGGTCAGGGCTTGATAGGGGTTCGACTCAAGATCGCCCTCTCTGGCCACTGCTTGTGGCAGCTCTTGCCATCTTTGCTAACCACAGACCAGGCAGTGGGCGGCACGACTCCGGGCTCCCAATGGTTCCCGCTGGTCCTCAGGCTGACTTCCATCATTCCAGGGGGAGCGGCAGGCTGTGCCACTCAGCGCTTCTTCTGGGGCGGAGATGGACGGCCAGGTAGGCACCCCAGCAGGTGCTCCGGGCCACAGCACCTTCCTTTGGTCCAACCAGTGGCTTCAGATCAGGGCAGCTCACAGGAAGCAATGGGAGTCACCGGGAGGCAGGGACATCCCGATTCTATGAAGGGGCCAGGCCAGGCCGACTGAGAGCTGAGTGGAGGCAGCCAAGCGCCCTGTTCTGACAGCTGCGCCTGCCTCTCCATTCCACATTAGGTCCCCGCCACACTAAAGTCGGCCCCTCAATCACGCGTGTGTCCCGCCCCACCGCTAGGTCATCTAAAGAGCTGAATCTTGGTACATAAACCAGGCTTTGTAAATTCTAGCCTTGGGGAGGGGGATTATTAAAAGCCGACACAAGCATGCCCTGCTACTGAGCCCATTCTGGCCCCTAGCGGACGGAGTACAACCACCCCAGTGTGTTTTCGAGACTACACCTTTACGGGAGTAGAAACTCCCATCTTTCTCCTGTAGACCGATGGGTGGGTTCGAAGTGTTGACCTTGCGGTTCGCGGCCAACTCGGAACTCACTAGACCAGCGGTTCTCAACCTGTGGGTCGCGACCCCTTTGGTAGTCACATGATGCTTTCACAGGGGTTACCCAATTCATCACAGTAGCAAAATGATGAAGTAGCAATGAAAATAACTTTATGTTTGGGGGGGAGGCGTCATCACCGCATGAGGAACTGTCTTAAAGGGTCGTGACAGGAGGAAGGTTGAGAACCACTGCTCTAGATCAAGTAATAATTAGACTGCCATCACTACTGAAGTAGAGGGACGTCTTATGTGCCTATAAAAGCAGCCACAACAATTACAGCATTGACAGGACCTGCACTGAGCCATTTTCCGAGTAGAGCCCCGGACTGCCCCAACCACCCTCTCTAGGGGGTGGGAAGGCAGAATCCTCTGGTGCTGGCCTGACTATGCCTGTGACTTGGGATAAGTGCACGGGGTCACACTGGGTCAGCCTAAGGGGCCACCTGACCTGCAGGATCCAGAGAGCTTGCACCTGACTACAGCATGCCTTGGGGACACATCAGCATCACCCTGTACCAGAGCGGTGGGGGAAATATACCCAGGGCGCACGCCGAGGGCAAAGCTGGCCTCTGAGCTCCGAATCCAAGTCCACTGAGGCTTCACGGAAAACGAAGGGCCTCTCCTCTGAAGCTAGGGCAGCTGGTTCCGTGCAACTCTACCAAGACATCTAGGACCGCTGGCATGGTGGGGCTGGCCCCGCCCCAGCCCTTAAAAGCTTCCTTCAGTTCCAGATGAAGCACACTTCCTCAGAACCGGTTGGTTAACTGAGACAAGCTCCAAGAGAGCTGAGGAAGGTGGGGGAGTGCACACAAGTTCAGGAAGCAGCCTGCCTGTCCTGCAGGAGCGTAGGACTTACTCAGGACAAATGGGCGCCACTGCAGAACTGGGGGGGAAGAGGGAGAAGTCTGGTTGCCCAAAGACTTGTGACCTATAAACCTGATTTTTAAAATTGAGATATAACTCACATACCATAACATTCCCTGCCTACAGTGTACAATGGAGGAGCCCTAGTGGCGGAGTGGTTACATGTTGGGCTGCTAACCACAAGGCTGGTGGTTCAAAACCCCCCATCCCTCCGAGGGATAAGACAAGGCCTCCTACTTCCATAAAGAGGCCACACTCTTGGAAACCCACAGGGGCAGTTCCACCCTATCCTACAGGGTTGCTAGGAATTGGACTTAACTCCAATTGGTGGAAGTGAGGTTTTGCTTGCAGCGTACAATTCAGTAGGTCTTCATATATGAAATCAGTCGGGCAACCATCGCCACTTCCCAACTCCTGGATGTCTTCATCACTCCCAAGAGGAGCCTTACACCTGCTGGCAAGCACTCCTCTGTCTAGGTTTGTTTTTAACCAATGGGCAGGGGAAGGTGGCTAAGAACCTCTGCCCCTCTTTGCTCCTGCGATCAGGAAACTCGGAAGCAAGCACAGAGAGCCTCTCCCCACCCTGTCCTAGGCCTCCTCCTCTCCGAGGTGCCACTGGCATTGGCTGCCTCCTGTGTGCACATTTTTCCTAAATAAATATGGGTGGTAATGAGCCCTTAACAGGATGACAAGCTAGTGTTCCATGGAGTCCTTACAACAACACATGGAGGGATAGGAGCTGTGACGATCACAGGGGTTAAAGTACCTTGTCCAAAAGCAACAGATTGATATGGGATGGAACCAAGAGCCAGCCCAGACAAACTGGCACCAGTGCCACCTTGTCACCCACTTGTAGGCCCTTCAAAGCCTCTCCAGAGCAAGACGAAGGTTCGGGTCGAGTCTGTCTCATTTCACAATCTGCGGCTCATTTTACAGTTAACGTCTGGCTGTATCATCAGGTGACAATAAAAACCAAGCCAACCAAACTCACAGCCATCGAGGCGGTGCTGACTCACAGCAACCCTACGGGGCAGGGTAGAACTGTCCCTGAGGGTTTCCCAGACTGTAACTCTTCACAGGAGTAGAAAGCTCCATCTTTCTCCCAAAGAGCAGCTAGTGGTTTCGAACTGTTGACCTTGAGGTTTGGACATGGACAGGGTGGCCATCTGGTGTCTGGCTGGGACTGCCCTTGATCTCTGTCCTCCAAGGGCTCATTGGGCCTGGCATCCCCTGGATGAACCAAGCCTCCAGCCATTGCTCCACACCTGATGGTGCAACAGGCTGGCCCTTTAACCAAATAGTTGCACCAACATCCAGTAGGCAGGTGCTGCTCTCTGCGGACTCGTGGTTCTACCATCCGTAGGAAGAAAGAAGCTAAACCAGAGTCTTCAACTTCCAGAGCAAAGTAACAGCACTTCCCCCTTGAGGTCTGGTGAGAACCTGAGGACCTGCAAGTGGACCGGCCTGAATCCCACCTCTTTCAAAAGCTCTCTGTGTATCCACTTGCCCAAATTCACCAGCTCTACCCCTGCTTGAATAGTATACCTTCTCTTCCTGCCACGCCCCAAAGGCCTGCTCCCATAGCGTGACAACCGAGCCTGAAGCTCTGCACCCTGACCCAAGGGGATCCTCTCTCGAGGGTGCTCACAGTCTCCAGAGGGTTCCATCAACGCATCTAGCATCCCACACAGGATTGGACATATAACTAACACATCACTGTTAGACCCTTTTAAATGTGTTTAATTAGCATTTTAAAAAATAAACACATGTATCTGTGTTTTTGCCAACTATATAAATGAGCTAGAAAAACTATATAAATGAGCTAGAAAAACTGAGGATAGTGGGTAGTCGGGGGGGTGTTGCAAAAAGTTCTTTCTCTTCCTCAATTATCAAAAGATTACTTCTGCTGATTAATGACTGTGCAATCAATTGTGGAGGACACTTGTAAAATTTCACATTTCACAGAACGCAAAAGTCTACCTTAGCGGAACCTTCAAAAGAACAGCGCGCAGGCACAGTTGTTGACATCGAGGCTTAGCTAACACGCGAGAAAAAGCTCAGCAGTAAACTTGGTAGAGAAGAATCCCATCCATCCATCCTGCCATGCATTCATTCATCTACACTTCCAACCATTCACTCATCCATCCTTCCATCCATTTCATCCAGCTAATCATTACTGAGTGACTACGGCATCCCTGGAAACCCTGCTGGCTTAAGAGGTTACATGTCGGGCTGCTAACTGCAAGGTCAGCAGTTCGAAACCACCAGCTGCTCTGCTGAAGAAAGATGGAGCTTTCTACTCCCATAAAGAGTGACAGCCTTGGAAACCCACAGGGGCCGTTCCACCCTGTCCTATCAGGTCACAGTGCGTCGGCATCGTCTCGATGGCGATGAGATCTTGTGCCTGGTACTGCTCCATGCTGGGCTTCCACTCAGGAAAGATTTCCAATAGCTATGGAATCAGGGAATGCACATTCTGTTCCAATCATATTGCTACCAGAAAGAGCATGAATTAGCACCCCCATTTATTGAATGTCACTTCATAGACTTTATGCAGGTCAATAAAGAGGAACTTTTAAAAATGAAACAAGAAGACCGGGAGAGCCATTGCCAATTCTTGAGCACAGGAGGGGTGAGGAAAGCAGGGCTTTGGTACCATGGACAGATCCTGGGCTTCCAGAGCAGTGGAGAGGAGGGCTTCTGGACTCAGAGGCCAATTAAGGAGACAAGTGCCACAGGAGCAGCCCTGGTAGTGTAGTGGGTTCTGTGTTGGGCTGCTAACTGCGAGGTCAGCAGTTTGAATCCACGGGACGCTCCATGGGAGGAAGATGAGGCTTTCTACTCCTGTCAAGAGTTACAGTCCTGGAAACCCGCAGGGGCAGGTCTACCCTGTCCTATAGGGTCACTAGGAATCACAGTCAACTTGATGGCAGCCAGTTTGAGGTTGGTTTTGCTTTTATTTTTTGAGTGCAACAGGAAAGGACAGGGTGGCTACAAAGACCACACCTGAAAGAGCTCTGAAGGCTGGGAGCCCTGGGGTGAAGAAGAGAGGAAAAGGCATTTGGGGAGACCAGGGAGGTGGTGGGGATGCTAATCAGGAGAAAAGCCTGCTGGGTGGGAGGAGAGGTCCCAGGTCAGTGGAGTGGAACCT